TTAACTTTTTAAATATCATCTTGAAAAAACAGTAAAAATAATATATTTTCTCATATTATTTTCCTCCATATATAGAATGAAAAATGAAAAATCTATATACATACGAAGAAAATTTTATACAAGATTAAGAAAGTCATATATCTAAAACAAGTATTTTATAATAATCTAGTTCTTAAAAGGTGAAATTTACCTGTTTCATGTTTTAAAAGTAAATAAATAAGAAACACAAAGGGCATATTTAATAGTTAATGTAGTATCAATATTTAAAAGTAAAACTAAAGGATCAAACAAATGATGAAAAAGAGTTTAGCTCATAAGTTTTATGATTCTCAAGTTTGTTCAAAGATGCCAGTGTTTATTATCAAATCCTGAGAAAAAGTTTGTGAATTAAACTGGATGAATTTCCTGTATGTCCAGAAAATATCCTATTATATGTCTGTCAACCCACTTAGAAAGCTACAAATCCCAAATATCTTTAAAACTAGGGAAGAGAGGGTATGAAGAGATTTTAATACATGTTTAGAAGAAAAAAACACTAGAGGTCCTTGCTGTCTATTTGGAAAGCTACCAACATTACTGGGGTCTTCACAACAGCACAAGATTTGTTTCTTTTTAATGGTCCCACATCTCAAGTTATGATGATTCTGTTTTTAGGGTGATTCAAGATGGAAAATGCTCCTCCCTGAGTTATCTTTTCTACTTGCAAAAGTTTAAAAAAAATTACCTTCCTTTTCCAAATTTTGTATTTTTAATGAGATTGGAGCCTATGTCCTGAGGAAATTGCCTGGGCTATTTTGGCTCATTACCATAAACTGTTCTAGGAAACATGCTTGCTTTGGTTGAGAAACAAAAGCAACGAGATCTCTGAAGACTACTTAGGAGTGTATGACATTTTATGCCATTCTTAGGTACGTAGTTTAGTAAGATATAAAATAGTAGATATAATAGAAAGAGAAGATTTTACAGGACTATCCTTACGTGGATTGCACAAGCAATGTAACCAGCATTCAGATTTTGTTTCTATAAGAAATGAACCCAGTGCAACCCACTTCCAAATCATTAATAGGACAGAGACCTTCTGTAACACACAACACACACACACACACACACACACAAGTCCTTTACTAACAAAAAAACCCAACTCAAATCCTTTAGTTTTAAAATGAAAGAAAGTCTTTCTGCATATTATGTCCAGTTGCATTTCATTTCAATTTCAGTCGAGCTCCTGACATTAACTGGCAGGCCTCCTCTATTTCTCATTTATTTCTAGGTCTGCATCCTTCTGTTGTCCTTGTTAAAACTCCTTCCTGCATCCTAGATGGCTATTGTACAACTAACTCAGCAAATTATGTACCTGAGGTAAGTAGGGGAGTGGAAGGGGGGAGAGAGAGTGGGAACCTAGCAAGATTATGTTGCCATTATTCTTCCTTCTTACGTCAAAGTTCTCTCATTTTCTTCTTTTGAAAATAAGACTCTCATCTTCCTTTTTGAGGCTGAGTTTCACATGTGTGTTCTTACTCTCATTTCCTTCCACCCTCTCTGAAGACACAAGTGTCTCAAGTGGTTAGTATCCTGTTGTCAGTATTTCTTGTCTAGGGGCTCCTTTCCTTCTTACTTCACATATGGATAGTACTTTCATAAGATACTAAGAAATAGGTCAGTTTCTAAAACAGCAGAGGGCATACTAATTGTGAGAGAAGAAAGAAGGAATGAGGCATGTTTAAAAATGTAATTTCTGCATATTACTAAGAGTTTTGATTCATTGAGTCTGAGGAAACTGCTCAAAATATTAGACATACATAACAGGTTACTAGTGATTTTACCTCAAAAACGAATTAGGATTGAATGAGTTTATATCACATAAGTTCTTTTTAGATAGGTAAAAAGACATTTAAGTTTTGTTACATTTTAAACACAACTAGGTTGCATGAGGAAAAAAAATTACTGAATATAAACAAGAGAGCCACTAATCAAAGGTACAATTACATCTGTGCATTGGCATGTAAGTGTGTGATTTGGCACCTTCAGAACCTCAGGAATGTGGGCAGTTTCCAAAGATTTCTGGAGAATAAGAACATCCATTAGCTTGAATAATATTTAAAGTGAATGTTTGATTGATTCATATAGGAATAAAAAGTGTCCAAGAGCAGTAAAACTTCAGAATTGATAAACCTAGATGCGAAGAGGATCACTAGTAGCATAAAAGCTTAAAAAAAGACTTTGAGAAACTTGAAGATGACTAGTCTGACATTCCTTTTCTTTAAGTCTACCTACCAGAAATGGTCATTCCTAGTTTCACCATCTGGGAATTGTAAATTGTATGATGAAAGAATAATCCTGGAATGTTGTGAATTATCAAGTTTAATAAACATTTAAGCCACTAGCTTGTATCCATTTGTGATTCTTCCTGAAATACTAGAGATCTTAGTCCATAAAAGTCCCTATTTGCTTTCTTGACCTTTTACCCTCTGAGAAAACTCAACCAAAGCAAACACCCTTTATGTGACCTCAAAACTAAGCTTTAGAATTCAGGTAGTAGTCATCTTATTTCTTTTTCTTTCCATTCACTGCCATATTTACTGAAATTTTGACGTATACTCAGACTTACAGCATTTCTTTTTTCGTAATTCACATTTTAACCCACTTGGACCCAGCTTCTATTCTAATTATTCTGTTGAAATGACACCAAAAGATGAGTTGCCTTATTGTTTAATCCAATTATCTTTATTCACCTGGTGTCTCTGCATAATCTGATTTTTATAACCTAATCTCTGAAACTTTTCCCCTTTCCACTGTGAAGCCATGCTCTTCTTGGTTTTCTTCTAACTTTGACCCATTTCATCTCCTCTTTTGGCTCTTTTTCTTTCCAAAATGCAGAAAATTCTCTAAGATTTCATACTTAGCCCTTGATTTTTATCTGTATCAACAATCCATTGCATTTCTATGCTTGACTCATCAGTTTTGCTGATCTCTTATCTCCAACCCTGATGTCTCAGCCTTAGACCCACATTTCAGATTGTCTGCTGTACATTTCCACTCAACTGCCACCTCAAACTCACTCTTTGAACCTGAGCTCCTTATCTGTTGTAGAAAATCAGCTTTTTAGCCTGAATTCCTTATTCTGTTAATTGTACCACCTCTTCTAATCCTATAGGCTTAAATACTTCAGTAAGCTTGAGTTCTCCCCTATGCTCCTATACAAATCAGTCATTGAATGTGGCTGATCTTTTCCTCAAAATGTTTTACGTATCTCATAATTTTTCTCCATTCACACGGCTAGCATTCTCATATAGATATCATACCTTTATGTCTGAAATCCCTGACAAATCACCTTCTCCCATATCTGGATACATAAACTCCTCAGACTGGTATTCAGGACCCTCCACAATCTGGACTTATTCCTGTGAGGAGGGGGTGCAAGGACCAGACGAGATTCTTCACTGATCCCACCTTTGCTCATATGAGTCCTTTCTAGCACATTTTGACAAAGAGTCCTTAATACTTACTAATTTATTCAAATGACACCAATATTTCCAGGGGCAATTTAATTCCCATGCATATCACTATGCTTTCCCAGAAAATTCGCAAAGTAAGCCCTTTTATTAGAACTTGCACTGCATCTACGATACCTGATGTTTTACTATATAACTTTCCTTTTAGTATGTAAGTTGCATATAGTAGACCCTCAATGAACTACTTAAGATCACTGACTAAAGAATTATTACAGTTCTGATTTAGAAATTCCTTAATTTCTAAAGGTATTGCTTTCTTTATTTTGGTGAGCAATGAGAGAATGAGACCTATTATAGTGTAATTTTTAAAAACTAGTCTAGTCTATAGAATATTATTGAGGATTATTTTCTACCAACCTCACTAGTACTTACAAACCATCCCACATTCCAAATGAACAGAGCTCTTCTTAAGGTATGACTTGTAAAGAGTGGGGCTATTAATTTTTGGTGCATATTCTGTATGTCCACCAAGTGGTTTTCAGATATAATGACATAATCTAAGTACTAGATCACTGGATTATACATCAACTATATTGGGAGAAGGGGGTTAGTGGAATATGCTTCCCAAGTACCTAGTATGTGATGTCTTCCTTATTTGTGATATGTGATTTGTGATAGTGGCTTTCTACTGTGGAAAGAGGTCCCAGACATAATGTGCTTTCAGAAATAGTTACATCTTTTTAATTGTCTATTTTCTTAGGCCTTATAGTGTATCTTGAGTGAAATCCATTTTTTTGCAATGCTAATAGTGCCAGTAGATACAGTATTCTCACCATACTTTTTACAACACACCAGAAATTCTGAAGTCATTCAGGGTAAGATACTTTTCAAGATGACCTTAAGAGAACATTTTACCATCTCCAGATCACTAGCTGTCAACACTGTCTCAAAGCTGCTTTAACACTGCAGGTATCACAGCTGACACTTTCAAAAGGAACTTGATAAAATGCAATTTTCACAAAAGAAAATAAGATTTCAAAAAATCTTATGTTAGAGATTTAACTATGGGAGCTGCAGCTTAAAGAAAGCCTAGGAAACAGGGTCAATATATTTACCAGACAAGTAATTTTCAAGGATAACTTTCTAAAAGTTTCTATTGAAATTTCTAAAACTTATCCTAAAATCCAAGAGCTTGGAAGCTCAAGAAAAGAAGTTACATCTTCTGTTTTTGTTTGTTTAGGCTGAATACTCCCTTTCCTGGGAGAGTGGAGGCTAAGATACACTTAGAGAGGAAATTCTAAGAGTAAATAAAGGGATTTTTCTCTTTGGTCAAGAAAATGTTCACCTTAACTCAGTGAGAATATGATCCTATTTTATTGAATAGTGGTTACACATATATAAACATATTTTTAAGTATATTGCTAAAGACTTCATAGAAAGTGAAGGACAGGATCCATCAAATATCCAGTGATACAAGTTTGGTAGAACAGTTTAAAAAGAAATGTTACATTAAGGTTAGCACTAATATAAACAACTTGTTTTTCTCACCTTTTTGGATCTCCAACAACGGCAGTACACAGCTTTGTCTCCCAAATCCTCCACGTCAAAGGCATGTACTATCTTAGGGTTGTCTTTCTGGATGTGAAGGTTTACCATAGATTTACTACGGTGATCTTTAACATAAAATCTCTTGTAAACTAGATAACCAATTGCAGCTGTCCCAGCAGCAAGGGTAACTGCTGCAATCCATTCAGCTAGAGCAGGGAAGGAAACAGAAATAATCACCAAAACTAAAATATATACTAATCATCTAATGTGAGCGTTTGGAAAATCCAGTTTTTGAGTACTGAGCATCCCAACAGTCAAAGGTTTTCAATGTTAGCAGAATGATCAGAACATACTTGTGTAATACTCTTTTGTTATGACTTTTCCCAACCCTTACTTAGGCAAATATATATTTTCTATTGAGTGATGATAGCTAAACTAAGATCAAAGAGGGATACTTAAATATTTTTAGATGGAAAAGTAAAACCAATGCTTAAGAATCTTTTTAAAGTGTTCATAAATAGATTTAAAATAAAGTGAGCTTGCAGATGCAACAAAAAAAACAAACCCACAGAAACCTGATACATTAAAAGATTCAGATTATAAACAAGACCCTTGCCCCCTTCCCCAATCAGGAGGTGATTATGTTAACAAAATGACTCACCAGAGTTCATTTAAATAGTAGGTCTTTTAGTGATTTTTAAAATGCATAATCACAAACAGAATCGATATCCAAAGAAAAAGACAAAACTACCCTTAATATTAAACATTCAAAGAAACATATCCAGCAGGATCCTTGGATTCAAAGGCATTCAAAAGTTTTTCTTTTTTTTTAAATTTCAAAGTGCTTTTTCATTAACATAAAAATCAAAATGCATTAATTTCATACTTCATAAAAAACATGATTAATATAATTACAATTATATTTCTCACTTAAGTTCTAAATTTCCATTATCCACCAGTGGATGGATGATTATCTGAATTCCCTCCAAATATCACTTTAGATTTAATGGCATTTTTCTACTCATTTGCTTGACTAACAGGCCATCTATTTATTCTTTTCACGTAGCTTTTCAAGGAGCCTTTAACACTTAACAACTACCCCAGTTCCAGAGAATGCTGGAGAGAAGAAAGTTCTGCATAGTCTGGTTAACCTCAGCTTCAGAGGAGAGTTGCCTATTCCCAGCATGGAGTGGACTGCCCAGAGAAGTTGAATAGGGGTCAGGATAAACACACTGGACTGCTTCCCAGCACTTCACAGTGTTTGAAATAAGTTTCCAGACTATCAAATAAAGCCCTAGAGAGATAAGTTCAAAAACACATTCTAAGGCCAAATAAAAACATACACTGAATAATTAACCATATGGCTTATTTGCATTGCTGAGTCAAATTTCTTACTGCACTAATGTGATTAATCACCACACCTAACCGTGCCTTGGAGTCCATTCTTATAAAAACTCCAATGGAAAGGAACAACCATTCTCAAACTTAGTTCCTTTTAGCTTGGTCTTCTGGCTTATTTAATAATTTAGTTTTTATCAAATGTTTCTAATTAGCATGTCCCTTGGATTCTATTTTCAACCACAGTATTTTTCTCTATACTTCAGTGTTTTCTATCTCACAACATTTTCAACCCTCCTTGCTATATAATCCTCTAAAATAAACAGTATGTCCTTCCCAGGTACTGTATGACTCAGAAAACAAGTTAATAAGTCATTTAACAGCTTCAAACCTTTGGCTTCACTGAGGGATATTTTTTAACTACACAATTTGGGTAGATTTGTCTGGAATTTTAGTGCCGCTTCATGTTATTATTATGTGGCATTTCCAACCAGGGCTGAAATTTTTTGCTTTGATTTCTAGCTGCATTCATGATCTTCCTTTTTGATGCATTATTTACCATGGAATCCCTTGAGGAAATATTCTCTATGTCTGGAGCTATAGCAGTCCACTTCTTAGCTAATGGAAAGCCACTTTGAATAGTTAATGTACCTATTGCAAAATGAGCTAAAATATTGATTTTCATACTATATGTTCAATTATATTTGCTAAATGTTATCTTTAGTATAAACTTAAAGGAATAAATATACCAAAAAACTAAAACAACACAACTCCCCAAATGCTGCTAGTTATACCTTTTTAGGTGTATTATGAAGTAATCTCAGATTTGTTTTAATGGTTCCTATAGATTACACAAAGGCCTGAGATCCAAAGAACAACTATAATTGGCTAGTATTACTTTGTCTCATGACATAAAAAAAAGGATCCTATAGGAATTTCTAACTGAAACTCATCCTAGGCTAAAAAAGAATCTTTCTTAACCAGTGAAACATTCTTCTATCCTTTTCTCATATTACCAACTGAATCAATCCATATGGTGACACTGAAAAAAAAAACCTTTACCTCCTCTACTTTTTTGATGGTGGAAATGACAGAATAACTGACATGGGAAAAGAGGAAACAGCAAATTAAAGAAATGGGAACTGCCTCTATTTATTAGCTAGGTGTGGCTGCCCCATGGGGAATCATAGTATGCACTCTGTGACCATACTCCCTAACAAGCACCACTTAAGACCCTATGTAAATATTACAGCACCATGTGTGTGTTAGGAAAATAGCTTTGTGTTTTCTCCAATGAGTTTTCAGAATCACACAGCTAGATAAGGTCTTAAGCATTTCCACTGCCTCCCTTCCTAAACTCCAATTCTCTCACTTCATTAGAGACAAATGTAAAAGTGCTCAGAATAAGAAAAAATGTTGCTGTTTTATTATCATTTCATTACTGCAGCTGTAACCAGTCTTTTCTGGCAAAAAGCTGTAGATGCCATTGGCAACATTAGGAAAAGAAGGAAAAGGAAACTGTATGAAGATAGACAAGAAGGGCAATAGATTCAAAAGTCAACAATTAGAGAAAGAATTGAAAACTGGAGACAATAAACAATTAAAAAGAATAAAACTCAAGTAACATTTAGTTCTTGATAGTGTATATACCTATTAAGAATAGACACATTCTCAGAGGCAACAAGAACTTTATGAAGACCCAATTTTAAAGGTATTTCAATCGGCTCCTTTTAGACACTCTTTCAGAACTGGGGTCCAGAAAAATACTGAGCATTATTTCTGCCTCTTCTGGTTTATCCTCACTTCCCTTTTCTGTAGCCATCTCTCAAGACAGTGTCCTACCCAACCTTACTTAACTATGCTTTCTATCTAGACAAACAGTATGAATATAAAGAACAAAATACAAAAAAATACATTTCTAAATAATCCCTCCCTGTCTTACTCTTCACTTGGCCTACTTTTGCATAACTGCTGGTGTCTCTCTTAGAATTATCCAGAAATTGAGTAAATATTAACTTGCTCCCAAATCCCACTCCCTTGTTGATAACCCATTCTTCAGCTTCTATGTACTGTGGGAACTATTTTACTTCAACTTAGAAATCTCACCTTGCTTCTTTTCCTTTAGCCCCTTTTCTGCCCAAAACTGTCCTCTCCTGCCCAGTTGTCAACTGCTAGAGAATCAGAATGTTCCTGATTCTTTCATCTCAGGAGAGGGGGATGAGAGTTGTGCTTAAACCTTTCCTCTCCTTAGGTCTCTTTCAGAGAGGGAGGCTTGTCTGGTAATGTTTTTCTCTCAAGGCCTGGTGTACAAGTGGTGTTCAATGTTAGTTGAGTAAAGAGCAGTAATAGATTACTGATTTGAATATGTAACTCCATCTGTCCATCCTACTGCTGTATTGCTCTTGCACCAAATGATTCATCTTTGGCCTCCTCTTAACCTAGTATATAAACATGTGGACTTGAAATACTTCCTGAGATTAAAAACTGAACATTATAGAACACTTCACACGTATATACACAGATAATTCTATAATGAACTCCAATTTACCCTCACCCAGCTCCACCAAGTATCAACTTACTACCAATTTCGTTTCATTTATAGCCCCAAATCCCCTCCATTGTTTGTTTATAACCTATAGGATCTAGTTTCTTTATTCTCAGTATGATCAGTATATTCCTTCTCAGGCAAAAAACAATTAGTAAATTAGTAAAGTAACATTAAACAGTTACTCTAAAAGAGTCAGTGAATTTACTGAACCCACACAGTATTTTCATATGTTGAGGTTCAATGAATTGGAAATTATGAATTAGTATCAATAAAACAGGCAACGATACAAAACTCAGAGAAAAAGAACTTACAAAATTTAGTTTTGGTTACATGCATTGTAGTGTTCAGGATTTGGGATGGATAACACAGTGCAAGGATGCCTATTCCATAACTTGAGTAAGGCAAAGTATGAAAAAAAAATTATCTGAGGTGATGGGAGAGTAAGTAAGGCCTAACTTTAAATAAAGACTTGGTTTCGTTCACTTTTTCTTTTTAAAAAATGAGGGTGAATCATGAGTGACTTTGGGCCGAAGAGAAGAAAATCACTGTGAGTGAGAGGACTGAAGATGTAATGAGAGCAATAGGTATTGTTAGTGAGGCAAGAGATTAAGAGAGCAGGAGAAAATGACAACTCGAGGACAAGGTAAGAGAATGGCTTTTGTTAATCTCTTCCTTGCTAATAAAGCTAAAGGATTAAGGATGGGAACAGATTCAAAGTTTTGGCAGTATCAAGGAGCAAGACATTGAGAAAACTTCCTAAAGATCACTTATTGGTATGAGGAAGGGTCATTTACTATTTGTTAGAAATGATAATAAACTAATATTTGGTATCAAATAAAAAATAAGTTTAGTATAAACCTCAATAAGAGAAAAACAAGTCTGGTATCATCAACCAAACAGATTGTCAAAAGCCATCTCATGGACTGGGGTCTTCAAATTTCAGTTCCAATCATTCACCCTCATTGCCTCTCCCAGATCCATGTCCTGGCCTGATCTGCATTAGTTTCATTTATAACTCACCCATTATTTTTCTTCTGAATATAAAGAAATTTGAAGGCATATACACACCTTTTTATTTTTTAACATATACAGTGCTTACTATTGTCAAATGCCATTCTAACCCCTTTCTAATTATTAACTTATTTGAGAAAACATGGTTATCCCCCCAAATCAAAAGATCTAGACTGATTCTCCATCTATAGGATTTAATAGGTTTGGCTTAAAAATTGAGAGAAAAATTTGAGATCTAAATATTACAAGGTGGACTCCCAAGACTGTCCCTGCCTTGCCACACCACTGTACTTGAGGAAAAAGGTGCTGGTAGAAGACATTTACAAAGGCTTTGAGACTCTGTTCATAGTTCTCACAACAATCTTTCTGCTTTTAGGTGAAATAAAAAGTAGTTACTTCTCAAAAGTTGAGCACTTCAAGTTTAAGCTGATAACCCTCTTTGCTGAGCAATTTCCTATCCCTTAGAAAATGGCAACTAAAGGGAAAGTCATCTTTGGATTCTTAGATTTAAATCTTAGATTTTAAAAAACCCAACAAACTTGTCTTGTTTTCAAGAAAGGTTAACCTGCAGATAGTGTTAGGTCCTAGGGTTCACCTATTCCACATTTCGATGTATGCTACCTAAGTAGAGTCAATGCCCATTTATACAAAATGACTCAATATTTTAAAAACACATTTTGGAATCTTCCAGTCTGAATCACACAAGTGAAAATTGTCTTCCTACAAAATTATCAGGGGCTCAAGTCACATGAATACTTCATTTTATACAACTGTGTTATTCCTGAGATGTTTGATTTTTTTTTAAAAAACAAAAAAACCCACTCCCTATTTTGAATGCACCAGGTGCCTCTATTTATAGGAGCTTCAAGATGAGTATCCTTTGAAATAATTTTTGCAAATCGTCACCTTTTGTATTATTCCATTAGTAACTTTATAATGTCATGGGTTGTCACTCTCATTCTACTAGGTAACTTTTGGCAACTCAACTAGAATTCTCCAATTTACAGAATCTATTACAAAATTAGAGCTCAAGTTACTAGGGACACTCTAGGCTCTCAAAGAATGCTCGGTATTTACTAAATGAATCAGTGGGGCTATTTTTAATTAACTTCTGGACAATCTCTTTACCTTAATCACTATTACAGGTAACCAAACCTTGAGGTGTGGCGTTTTATACATGGGCGGAGAGATCAGTCATTACGTAGCTGGTGCACAGTACTGTATTAACAATTATACCACCACCAAAAATTGTTACATGGTGAGGCTCCCCATTAATCGACCTATAGAAAGTCTCTTAATTTTAACGGTACCGTGGGGGTGAAGCAATGCTTCCAAACGCTCGGTACTAGCACAATATAAACAAGGCGGAGAAAGCCGAAAACTCCATGAGCTTGGTTATCAATCCTCTCTCCTGCACTACGCCACCGAGCGCCAGAAAGAGACATAATAAAAAACGGGGGAAACTGGAGACCTCGGATTGAGTTTCGTCCCTTAAAAAAAATGTGTGCAAAACGAAGATGTGTTTAGTCATGCATCGCTTCAGGGCTGCAAGGAAATCGACGTCTCGCTCCACTGTGATTTACACGTGAGAAGGGGGTAACAGGGTTTTGTTTGTTTTTTCAGCTTTCCTTTCTTCTAGGCTCTGAGACTTAAGAACACAGAGGCATCTGAGAGAAGAAAAGCTAGCAGTGGGATCACAAGGTTTTAGGGTTTGGCGTGAGGGGAAACGTGGTCCAGACCTGAGTATATGCCTGAATGATCCCCACGCCACTTTTGCCAGGGGATATCACCAATTTATACCGTGACCTCGCCCTCTTTCCCCGTCCCTCAGGGAGCCCGCAGGCCCGCGTGCGCTTGCCCTTCTGCATCTCAAGGTTATAGGACTGTCCGTCTCGTAAGGGAGCGCTAACAACCCAGAGAGGAGCTGAGGAAGCTGCAACCTGCGCGCAGGTCGTCAGCCTCACCCGCTCCCAAGCCCCACTTCACCTCGTACGCTGGAGGTCAGAGTCATGGCGCCGACGCTTGCAAGGCTTGTGCACAGGACACAACACAAACGGGCTCGCGCGGACAGGAGTCGAGATGCGAAAAACGTCCTACGGAGATCGACTCCAGGCTGCTACGACGCAGGCGCTGCGGCCAGCCGTAAGCACGTGTGTATTAGCCCCCTTGATGTTGAGCATGCGCAGAGCTGTTTAGCGGGCCTTAAAATCTGAAGTCCTGATTTTGACAGCAGCAGCTAGGGGAGGAGGAAGAAGCCTCGAGTGATAGCAACTGAGTTTGCGCAACTCTGAGGGGCGGGGTCTGGCGCTAAGGGGCAGGGCTTTGGGAATCGCCACCCCTAACCAGATTCTACTGCGCTTCCAGGTGTGTGGATTTCTCGGGGTAGAGGAGAGATGTTGACATAACACTTGTCATAATCAGATATCTAAGATTTTACCCCAAAATTTCTTGCTCAGTCTGGAATATGCAAAGCCAGGTTCAACTTTCATATGAAACGCCGGTGGCAGTCACACAGGAGTCAGTCGTGGAGTCCCGTTCCAGACCCTCTTGTAGCTCCCGGGGTAATATCTTTCTTCTGCCTTTGACCCAGTTAGTCATCCATTGAGGACCTTGGAACCTGCGCTAAGGGTCGAGTAGGAGAGAGAAAAAACGCTCATTTATTTTTAAAGATGTGCTCACTTAAAAATTTTGAGATGATTTTCCCTGGTCTGAAATCAGTGTCGTTCCATTTTTTTTTTAAATAAACGCGCTTTTAGGAGCACCAGTTTGCGGAAAGGGGCTACGATTAACTTGGAGGGTGTTTTGAAGGTGCGTCTTCTAAGAAACTGCCTGTTTTTAATTCTTTATGCGGGGTGGAAGTTGGAGGGAGTTATTGGAGTTAAAGGGTAGCCTCCCAAGCCACCCTTGGCACAGCTGCTGCCTTCCGACTCTCCTAACACGAGACTGCTCCTCACAGGTAGAAGCGTCGTAGAGCCGGACCTCGGGAGGCTCTGAAACGCTCACTGAATGAATGAAGGCAAACAGCCCTGTTGGCGTCCCAGTGCCAGCCCAGGGGTCGGGATCAAAGGAATCACATGGGCGCACGCACCATCCTGGCAGCCCTCAGCGGGTCCCGGCCGCGCCGCGCGTCCGCCCTCTGAGGGGTCCAGACGGCGGCCTCTGGGCATGCTCAGTAGCGGCGGCGGCCGCGGGTCGCGCAGTCGGAAGCTCGCGGCTGCGGCGGCAGTACAGGCGGCGTTGACGCGCGCGCGGCAGCGGAGGGGACTGGAGGACGGCGGGAGGGGGCGGGGGCGCGGGAGGTGGAGCCGCCGTCGCCGTCAAGGCCCCAGGGAACGCGGGGCGCCGCCGCCGCTGCAGCCGCTCGTCGGCTGGGTTCCGTCTGCAGGGCTGCTCCGGGGCCGGTGGCCGCGGTGGCAGAGCAGCGGAAGCTCTGCCGAGAGTTGGGCAGGGGAGCGCCCGCGCCTCCGCGGCGGCATGGGCTCCCTCCCCGGGCCTCAGCGGGCACCAGCCGCGGGAACCCCCGGGCCTCCTCACGGCCAAGCCTGAACGACCCCCAGGTTCTCCGGCGCCCCTTCCCTCCGCCTTATTTTTTTTCCTGCTCTCTCTGCCGCTACCGCTACCGCTTCAGCTCTCCGTTATGGCAACGGAGCCGCCATCCCCCCTCCGGCTCGAGGCTCCCGGCCCCCCAGAAAGGCGGACCCCACCGGCGAGCGAGCCCGCCCCTGAAGGCACCCCGAAGCCAGCGGGTGGCAGGCTCCGCTTTCTCAACGGCTGCGTGCCCCTCTCGCATCAGGTGGCCGGGCACATGTATGGGAAGGACAAAGTGGGTAAGTGGGGGTGGCGCGGTGCTCGGCGCTCCCCTTCCGCCTCCGGGAGCCCCCGACGGGCTGGAACTGCCTGGCGCTCAGGGGCCTGGCTGGATGCCCCTCCGGGTCTGCGCGCCGCGCCTGCGACCCCTTCCTCTCTCCAGAGCTTCCCGACTTGTGCTGCAGGGGCTTGAAAAGTGAGGCGATTTTTAGGGTGTGGGGAGTCAGGCTTGAAGCGGGAGGTGTAGGGGAGATGAGTGTCTGGTCTCCCCAGGGAGGATGGGTGTTGATTGGAGACGGCGTTGTTAGTGAAAAATAAGGAACTTCATTTTTACTGGACGGGGAAGTAAATTCTCCCCTAAGCACAAGGTCTGTTTATTATAGGCGGGTAGCTATTGCACAAGTAAAGGAATGAAATGCAGATGATGCTAATCTAAGGCTTCTCTTCTGGGTGCAGCTGCATAGCTAGAGGGGAAGCAAAAACATAGGGTTTCTTTTTCTTTTCTTTTTCTTTTTTTGGAAAGCTTATCTTGGCCTATCCAGGATCTCTCTTCCTGCCCCCTTGGGAGGTTTTTTTGTTTTGTTTTTTGATATCCCCTGGATTTGTCCGGGAGGCGTGGTTCCAGGAGTGCAGAAACTCGTATTCATGGTGGGAAATACCCCATTGTGCTGTACTAGAATGGTACACAGATAAGACATTCAGTTATTTTTGATCATCCGTGTAAGACTGTATCATGGCCTGGGTAATATATTTTGTGAGCTCCCACCGTTTTTAAAGCACAGTGCAGGGCCTATCTCATTTTATTGTCTTGGCGAAGTAAAAGTTCTGTTGAGGACCTGTAATTCACCTAGTTTACTCACGGGTTCGCTGGGCCATGATTACTGGGGAATCTGATGGATGAGCCTGTGAGTAATGCTGATGTTAGTTGTGGAAACCACTAGAGACAGTTTGGTTTATGCTGTTAAAATGATTCGGGTTTAAGCTGGGAAGATAATACTGCATTTTTAGACAAGATAACCAAGGCCAAGCCCGGTGAAGTGACAAGCCCGAAGTCACACAGCTACTATGTGTTAGAATCAGGAAGCCAAGGGTCCTGTCTCACGGCCCTGTTTTTCTCCTGTGTATTGTGCTTGAAGATAACTCAAACAGTTTTTGAGAATTAATGATACTCAGTTGAATGTATGTGTATTATTTCTTAAAGAACATTTACCACTACTTTTATATTTACCTTTCTTTTTCTCTTGTTGAAAATTAGGCGTTAATGATTTTGTCATGTAGATTTGTGTACCTTTTTCCCCACTGAATTATGAGTTCCTTGAGATGAGAGACCAAACCTGTTTTATCTCTGTACCCTTGTACACAAACTGGAGCTCAGTTAAACTCGGGAGATGTTGAAAGAGTGAAAATTGTTCTTTTAGTGTTTTTAGTTATATCTAGGTAACGAAACAAATATGGTTCTCAAGGGGCTTAGCTTCAGTGTAAAGAACCTTCTCAAGATGCTTAGCATAGACATATTCTCTTGAGTATCACTTCTGGTAATGAAAATTTGAGGTTATTCATGGAATTACTGTTAATACATTTATATTGCATACCTATTGATTTATATTAATGAATCATAATGATAATCTTCCTAATATTCTGGAGGCTTGAAAAAATAAATAATTATTCCCTTAGTGGTCTCTAGAAATTGACTTCTGTGCATATGAACAAAAAATCCCAGAAAAAACATAATCTTGATGATTGTCACTTAAGAATGTAACCACTGGTTATCAAAGTATGTCATGGCCTATTCAGAGAGTTATCTGACTGATTACAAAGGTACCCTGAATATGAATTAAAGCTGTATTGCAAATGGTGGCTGAAAGAGTTTAATTTTTCATCTAAATTACCTAACTAAAGAAGTGTGGAATCTTTAATTATGTTTATTACTGTGTTCAATTTAAAATACCTCCCACCCCCCAAGTTGGTAAGGTTCTTTTTTTTTTTTGTTTTTTGAGAGGGCATCTCTCATATTTATTGATCAAATGGTTGTTAACAACAATAAAATTCTGTATAGGGGACTCAATGCACGATCATTAATCAACCCCAAGCCTAATTCTCAACAGTCTCCAATCTTCTGAAGCATAACGAACAAGTTCTTACATGGTGAACAAATTCTGTAAGGTTCTTTTAACTATGGACTGTCTTTGGATCACCAGTGTACAATGCCTCAAAGGTACTGTGCTAGCAACCTCATAGTTATTTGTTGAATTTAATTTTATCATGTAGATTGTGTATCTTTTTCCCCACCAAATTATGAGTTCATTGAGATGAGAGACCAAATCTGTTTTATCTCTGTACCCTTGTACACAAACTGGGGCTCAGTTAGACTTGGGAGATGTTGAAAGAGTGAAAATTGCATATACACAGTCTTGCATATATAATTCGTGAAAGGACACCTGAATGATTGTAATTTTCCCTATTCATAAAGTGGATAACAAGATAATAATTCAAAGTTCAAGAATTTACTGTGTCTCTCTACTGTCATAAATCACTTAGAATTGTAAAGTGCATCGCTTAGATCATTGTTTGGCTGTCAACTAAACTCAGAGTAAACTTTCTGAAAGACATTGTGTAGATGCTGTTTTAGTTCTAAAAATTTTTGTTACTATAATTAAACATCCAGGATTTTCAGTTTAGGATTGATATCTTACCTATTTTCAAAAAGGAGATGCTGGCTTTGTTAAAAATTAAAAACATAAAACCTATAGCACAAAGTACTGGAAAAAAAATATATATCTTGTTATGTTGTTAAGTAATAATATGTTACAGCTTTGATATTAGTTATATTTTATGTTCTTCAGTGAAATCATACTTCATCAAGTACATTTAAATATCATTTCTAAGAATGCGAAGTGTTTGGGTTTTTTAAATTGTATTAAGTAGCACATCTTTTAGGAATGCATTTCAAACAGTATGGTAGTGCCCTTCCCCCATACTCCCTCTCCTGGGGGTTATCACTGTTAACTATTTACGGTGCTCCTTTTATGCCTGTTGTTTCTGGGCCCATACATACGTTAACACAATTCTGATTTTTCATACAAGCAGATATATCAGCCAGTTTTGTTTTCATTGTGTATTATGTTGTATATCCATATTTTTGTTATTATATACTTCATTGTTTTTAAAAACTTACATTTTACAGTGTGGGTGTGTCATAATTGCTTTAGTAATGAGTTTTTAGATTTTCACCTTTTTTTTTGCTGGTATAAGTAATGTATTAAACATTCTTGTACATTATAGTATACCTAACACATCTTGCAGCTTTTCTTTACAGGTTTCACAAAAGTCTGATTGCTACCAACGTAATGTCCAAAAGCTTGCCAAAAGCTGGCATAAAATCTTTCTTCTGTTTTAAGTATTGAACATGTACCATTAAT